CTAAGATCTATTAAATAAACACTTTTTAAAGATCATTTTAATTAATTATTTTTTCTTTTATTGAAATAATTGTTAATATGATGAAAGTATTGATGAATTTGTTTGAACCAAAGAAATTTGACAAATTTAATAGACAAAAAGAATTTAATAATTTGAACAAAGGTAATTTGACAAATTTATCAAACAAAAGAAACTTACTGAATTTAATATACAAAGAGAATTTGACAAATTTGACGAATCTATTTGTACAAAAGGAATTTGACAAATTTATCTAAACCAAAAAATTTGATAAGTATATTTATAAGTTCTTGTTATTTAAATCTAGAAATTAGTTACTAAGTTAATTAATAATACTAATTATCATTTCAGCAACTCATCTTGTTGGTACAAATGTGAAAAGTATGAAATATCTCAATATGGTCTATTTAGCAAACATGTTGAATTTTTTGCATTATGTTATAGAATTGTTAACTTCAACACTTAACCATTTAGAGTGCCATTAATGTATATTGATAGTTAAAGATTTTTATATCTATTTATTAAAAGTTATTGCTATATAAATTCAAAATTTGTATATCTTTTATATTGTCAATAAAAAATTTTTTATAAAAAATCGCCAAAAGAGGACTTATAGATTACTATAATAGCATTTATTGTATGCGTCGTATTTTCAATAAATATTATTTTCAGAAGTATTTGAATAATTATATTCGATTGAATCATATTATAATACAAATCGAAGTATCTCTTAGACCTAAATTTGACTTTGACTAAATTACATTTGTGATCAAATTCAAAACTAAGATAGCAATACTTAATTATTATCGGTATAAAGAAATTATTGTTGTATATGATAAGCCAACGCATGCATCCAGATAGAATAGTCATCGCAAACATTTAAAGATATTGGGCTTGTAATAAACAGCATTAATCAGCAATATGCCTCATATAGAATCATAGATATCAAAAAGTAATTCACCAAAATGTAAAAACCCAAGAATATACAAATATGACATCACTTATTGAACTTTTTTATTTTAATTATATATATTTTTTTTATAGGTTTTGACATTCCAATTTATGAGAAACACGCAAGAATCGAATAGCACACATGAATTTAAAGAACTAAGATAAGTGACACAAAAAATCTCTTAAGCACGAAGAGCAGACAATCTAATAAATACATGATTTAATTATATAGGCTCCAGACCCAAACGTTCCCGTTTCCTAGTGATAATGAAGATCTACGTCACTAGATTACGACATATTGTAAAACACCTTTACAATAGGACGTGTACTTTAATGGCTAGTAGATAAAATTTTTATGAATTTTGATTTATTTCAATTAGAAAAATTCAAAACAAGTGTTTTGTCAAAAATCGCTTATAATTCAAAATTTAGTTCTATGAAACAGCATTAATAAAAATTTTATTTGTATAATTTTGGGATATAATATTTCTAGCTCTAATCTAGAAACAAGTGTTAACCTAATCCAATATTTTGAAATCGATTAGTTTGAAATTTTTATGGGTGCGATTCTACCCTTGAATCTTAATGCGGGCCAAATGCGGCCTGCATTATCAATATATATTTGTAACTTACATGAGGTCATGTAAGTTACATTGTCAGGTAAGTTATCACAGCCCTGCCGATTGCTTGAAATTGTATTTAATTTTGCTTGCCTAGAATTTTTAATTTTCCTGGAATTATATTTTAGTTTATCTGGAATTATACTTAATTTTCTTGAAATTATATTTGCGCTGTAATTTCGAATTTTGACCTGAATTAAGTTTAATTCGGCCAAAATTCGAAATAACGTATTTATATTTGATTTTGCCCGGTAATATACTTAATTTTCCAGAATATACCAATCTTGTTTTTGAATTATAATTTTACTTGAAATTATACTTAATTTTTCTTAAAATTCATATTTTAATTTTTCCTAGAATCATACTTAATTTGCTTGAAATTTTAACTTAATCTTGCTTTGAATTGTAATTTTGTCCGGAATTATACCTGAATTTATATGTTAAATTTATATTTTAGTTACAGATTATACTTAATTTTGCTTGAAGTAATATTTTAATTTTACCTAAATTATACTAATTACCAGGAATTATGCTTAACTTAATTTTCCCAGAATTATACTTAATTTTTTGCCTGATTTATGCAGTCAGACCCCCTAAATGCACCCTCCCTAAATGCAGCACCCTCTAAATGCATGATATAAGCCCGGGCCCATGGTGGGACTTATAGATAAATACACATTCTTTATTCTGTAAGTGCACGCTAATTGTCTGGCCCGCTTATAAAAACTCCCTCCATAAGTGCATTCACATGATTATCAGCCAATCAAATTCAGTATTTCTAGGCTACTGAAGCCATATTTATCACATTATAATAGCACATTGTGATTTTAATAGTGTTCTCTAATTGCAACCCTCCCTAAATGCACGCTCTAGAGCTGGTCCCGACGACATGTATTTAGGGAGGTCTGACTGTATTTTAATTTTGCTTGGAATTGTTCCTTTTGTTCGGAATTAAATTTAATATTACATGAAATTATATATTAATTTTGCATAAACTTGTCCATAATCCATAAATGTGCGTTTTTAGATATCGGAAACATTCCTGAGTAGAAAGATCTTTAAAATTCTATAAATTTTGACAAAATTAGAGTTTAATCTGGTAGAATTCAATTATAGATTTGGGCAAAATTAGAGTATGAATTTTGGTAAGGATTATGGACCTAGATTGGGCAGAATTAGGGTTGGAAAATTACCGTAACTTTACGTAATTTTGTGTAAGTTTCTGAAATCATACTTATGTAATTTTATCATTGAATAATTTTGGCAAAAATATTTATAAAGTTGGCATTAAGAATAAATATAAATTACATTTCTGAACAAAATGATGGATATCTATTAGTACTGGCAAACTTTTGTAATGCCGGCACAATTATCATGTGACAATACACTATTTAATGTATAGTTACATTATAGTTTCGTAAGTAACAATGTAATTTCATGTAACGTAAAAATGTAATTCTGCGTAATACAACCTAGGCAGAATTCGAATATAAATTTAGGCAAAATTTGGGCGGAGTTCGAGTTAGGGTAAAATTTGATAAAACTAAAATTGTTTAATAAAAATATTCTAATACAGCATCATTTTAAAAAATGGGTTTATTGGTCATTATTAATTATTGTTTGGTCAAACTTGAATTTGATTGCACGTAAATATTGAGATAAAAGAACCATTTGTAGCTACAGATATAGTTGTTAGACGAAACTTCGAGGTTTTGCGCTGACGAAACGCGAAACCTAGTTTCGTCTTTCGTCAATTAAAATCTTGAATGACGAAATGACGAAATGACGAAACTGACGAAAGGTGACGAAACTGCAAAGGTGACAAACTAATAAAAGACGAATATAAAAATAAATAAATGTTATTGAAAATCATTGATTATGTGTATAAAAAAATAAACTGACAAAAACAGAAATTTATAAAAATTTTATTGTATAATAGGCGTTTAAATTGTTTAAAGGGAGTTAGAAATGAATATTCTATAATGTATTATACTATGTATCAGTTCTAGTGAGAAGTCGCTTGGTGCTTACTTTGTGATCTTAAAAATTTATTTGTTTTTAATTTTGACAAGGTTATTTCAACCGGTCTATAACAACCCAGGCGTCGTCTAGAAAAAATGAACTGGTTTATTTTTGCTGGCATATATGCAACTTCGGATACTGATCTCTGAATAAATTAATACCAATTTTTTTTTTTTTTTTTTTTAGTGGTCTCATCTTTTTGAGCGTAAGGTTTCGTCATTTTAAGTTTAAGGTTTCGTCTTTCGTCAGAAGAATTTGGGGTTTCGACTTTCGTCAGAGGTTTCGTCTTTTGGGGGTCTAGGTTTCGTCTTTCGTCTTCATGCGAAAAAGGTTTCGTCTAACAACTATAGCTACAGACCAGAATCAAAAAAAACAAAAAGTATTTCAATACAGCTAGTCCTTGAATTTACATTAATTCGAATCCATCATCTGATATGTTACAATTTTAGAATCATCAATTTTTGAATTTTTATTTCAACTTCCTCATAATATTATCTAAAATTTCAGTGTCCTAGATGGTAATATATAAGAAGGTTGTAGCACTTTATTGTTAGCATCAAAGGACAAGATGAATACATAGTTTAGAGTAGAACTATGACTCAGGTCTCTTTTTATTTTTGCTATCTTCATTGGAGCATTTCATTGTTTTCGAATTCTTGATTATTAATCCAATCAATAGTTTCTATGTTTTGGTTTGAGGATCCATGAATTTATTAAGGAATATCATGTAAATCATTAAAAGTATAAATCGGATTAACTGCGTTAAATTTACCTCTATTCGATGTAAAGGAATCTTTTCCACGTCGAATGCATCATTTTCTAGTAGAAATTCCATATAGCAACATGACATGCCTTTTTTTACAATGCATATTTTTGCCATTAATAGCAGATCATTAAGTTTAGAATTTCTAGCATAAACTACAAATTACAAATGTGAATGGCTTTGTTACCTAGTTTTAATTAATACTGTGCTCAGGTATTTGAAGACGGTATAATAACAACAATGTTACCGATTATTAATGATGTTAAGCCTCTCTAAGTGCATACCCTTAGGTTAATAAAGTAAATGTGTATTTAGAGAGATGCGCAAGAAAAAATATACATGTGACCCATCTAAGTGCATGTCCTTAGAGTAATTAATACATATTCAATTTGAATATAACTGATACTTATTCTCATTAAAAATTATTTTAAAGCATGCCTTACTTCACCTTCAAAATTTAATTAAAAGATTAAGCGAATTGAAATTATAGACTATGTGATTAAAACAACATGATCATTCAACACTTGCTAACTTTTGAACCTAATCATTGAATTTGATTAAATTTACTACATGGATCATTTGAAAATAAAATACTATTTAATGCTTAACAATTACACAAAATCAGGTCAAATTTGATGGATAGCTAAATTTTTCAATATCGATAAAGTTTTCTTTTATTGAAATAAATCGATATAGCTAAATGGATACAATTGGTTAGTTTCCATGCATAAATAACAAAAAAGAGTGAATGTATTACCAATGAAGAACTTCCAATTTTATCATTAGTTCTGGAAACGCGTGAACCACCAAATGGTTGTTGGCCAACAATTGCTCCAGTAGACTTGTCATTGATATAAAAGTTGCCAGATGCGTGTCTTAATTTGGTTTCGCCAAGCATAATAGCAGAACGATCTTTAGCAAATCTATAAAAAAATTATTGTAGCATTGCCATTATCATATAATATAACTGGATTATATATCTTTAATAAAGAACTCACATTGATCCAGTTAAAGCATACGGCGACGTTTCATTAACCATATCTAGTATTTGCTCATATTCATCTGCCTTATATCTAAAATGAGGTACAAAATATTAGGACTTACTTCGCTTAAAAAAAGATATATTAAACGCTTATACGTAAATTGTTAGAACAGGCCTGCACATAATCATTATGTAAGTAATGGATTTGGGTTAATTTAAATGCAATATTAAAACAATTACCAAATATTTCTTCTTCCATTATTCTACTTTATGGATTTTTTGTGATGATAACAGTTGGATTAATAAAATACCCTTTCGAATTATCGTAAGTTCCACCAGCAATAATTTCGCTATCCTTGTCATTTTTTGCCCATTCAATATGGCCTTTAATTTTTTCAAAAGATACAGCGTTTCTGTATTTATATATATAAACCGTTCTAGTAAATTAATTGTGCAGATAATTACAAAGAAATATTAAAGCTTACATAACCGGACCAACAAAATTTTCAAACTCTGATCAAACAAAAATATAATAGGTTAGAAAGATAAATATGTCAATGTGGAAAGTGAAACTTACCATCAATAGGCCCTACTTTGAAATTTCATTTAAAAACATTTCACGAAAATTGTCCCATAAAGCATCTGGAATATAAGCTCGAGAACAAGCAGAACATTTTTGACCTTGATATTCAAAAGCTCCGCGAATTGTCTGGTTCACGGCATTTTTAACATCAGCAGATTTATGAATTACATGAAAATTTTTGCCACCAGTTTCACCTACAATCCTTGGATATGATTTATAAATATCAATATTATTACCAATGTCTTTCCATAATTTTTTAAGTACAAAGGTTGATCCAACAAAATGTAATGAAAATATGGAGATCTTAAAATTTTTTCAGTAATTTCTTCAGCATCACCAGGAATAAATTGAATCACCCCATCAGGCAAACCAGCTTCTTTTAAGATTTCCATAATAATCCAATTTGAAAATATAGCATATGGCGAAGGTTTCCAAAGTATAACATTGCCCATTAAAGCCGGTACGCTTGGCAAATTACCACCAATAGCAGTGAAATTAAAAGGTGAAATTGCATAAATAAAACCTTCTAAAGGTCGATATTCTAAACGATTCCAAACACCTATTGAATTTTTAGGCGGTTGTTGTTGGTAGATTTCGTGAGCAAATTTACAATTGAATCTCCAAAAGTCTATTAATTCTGCTGCAGCATCAGCCTCAGCCTGTCTAATAGTATATTAAATTATATTAAATTTAGTACATTTTGCTTTAAGCGAAAAGAATACAGTAATATATATATGTATGCAAATACATACAAAGTATTCTTTCCTTGACCTAACATCGTGGCGGCCAAAAGTTTACGTCTATATTTTCCAGCAGCTAGATCTGCAGCTTTTAAAAAGATAGCAGATCTATCACTTAAAGAATAGGATTCCAATATGGGTTTCATAGCTAAGGCTCCTTTAATAGCTTTTTCTATAATTGAAGGATCAGCTTCATGAAATTTTGCTAGCACGGTTTTATGATCAGATGGAACTCTCTGTTCAGCAGTTCGACCAGTATAAATCTGTTAAAGAAAAAAGTTTTTTTTTAACAAAGCATGAATGAATTATCAATTATCTTTATTATACAAAAAAGTTTCTCATACTTTTTCACCATTAACGAGAACAGGAATTTCAAACGGAGCTTTTGACTTCAGTTCATGCAGGGTGGCTTGAAGGTTAATACGATCTTCGCTTCCCGGAAAATAATCTCTCTATAGAATCGAATTTAGGATTGAAAGATCTAAAATCAAATATTTTATATAAATAATGATATATAGATAAATACTATAGGTTCATTATGAATTTCAGGCATTTTGAAGGTTCCAAGAGTTGCATATAAAAGATGAGTCATCGTAGAAAGTCTTCTAACTTGAAGCACTCTAAATTGAAATTTGAACAAAGAATACATTATCGTTTATATTTTTATTTGCAATTCAAATTTTTAGTAGAACTAGGTCAGCAGGAATAGAACAGTTTTGAAATTTTTAGAATTGATATCGTAACGTGGATCGTAAATGAATGTTACACGTTTCTGTTACAGTTGCTTAATTTATATTTCTCAAAACTAAGTTGTAGACGTGATGAATTTCATATAATAATAGTATATGTATTTTTTTATTATTAGGTCATTGATGGAACGCAATATTAGAATTTGTAAACAATAAGGATATAAAAAAAAAAAGTAACACTATACAACGTATGTTTTTTAAGTTTGTTTCACAGTAAACCTAGCGTTGCCTTTTGTCCTTTGTGAAACAGTTGGCATATGAAAAACCTCTAAACAAAACATACCGATATTTAAATTGCATTTATTACGTATTTGCTATCCTTCTAATAAATTGAATACTTTAATAGATATTAAGTTTAATGGAAGAATTGGATTTGACGAACTACGTTGTTCTACCTACCGCATGGAAAGTTGAAGACAAAGCATCATTTCTAAATGTAGATTCAAATAGGCATAAAATAAATTATATAGGTAGGTCAATTTTAAGAGGTGATTTTTTGTACGTTGTTATTGTTGGGCTCCAAAAATTTGCGTTGCTAAGAGTGTTTTAAAGCGCCTTATTCAATGGGTCAGTCGGCAATTAATGTCTTGACAGCTCAGTTTCTGATAACTCGATTTTTCGACAACTCAATATGGACGAACTTATATAGGCCGATTTTTGCAATTATGTAATTTGTTATTTTTTTTAATTTTGAGTAACTATCAAAGAGTTAGGTAATCGCCGTAACGACTACTATCTACCCCGATGGTTTTATCTGATTTACAGTCTCGCTTGGCTATGAGACACTTTACTTTACACACAACGACGCACACCACACTTCTTCGAACGTAGGTATTTACTTTGAACTGTTTATTACTCAATTTTTCCCCAGTCGAAAAGACTGAAGATTTGTTTATTTACATTTCTCTATTTAAGAGATTCAAACAATTACATAATTTGTGCTACACTTTAACTATTTCTTTGTTTTAATTAATTAAACTTTTCTTTTAATTGTTCCCCAACTAATCGTCATATTCATGCGCCCGATCTTACATGTGCCGCCCCACGTCTCGATTCATACCTCGACTCCGATCGATCACATGATCACGTGAGTCGTTCAATTCATATCGTTCACCTATCTCACTCTCCAATTCATTAACCATTTCGTTATCAATTTGTATACCTTTTACAAGGTACAAGGGTTCTTCATAAACTACGCGACAGTAACTTTAGATATACTAGCTCGTTTTCGATGATTTTGGGCTTGTTAGAATCGTCTCATCGAGATGAACATTCCAGTAGTAAAATAGCAAAAAACGAGCTAGTGTATCTAAAATTAAAAAAATATCAGATTACATCTATTTTAGTACAATTGCAAAAAAATCAACTGACGTGATAAGGAAAAATGCTTCAAATTTTGATTTACAAAACAAGCTTGATATTTTATTACTTCAATATCAATTCATTTAATAGTTATTGAAATATTTTACTTCAAAGTTTAAAATTTTATCCAATCACCTAAATCTAGAATGTATGATATCTAATAATATGTTGGCCCTTTTATCTTTTTGAGCAATGCTATTAATATTAAAGTGTAGCAATGGATTGTAAATAAGAATTATTAGGATAATATATTGTTGAAATATTAGATTGCCAGACTTTAAATTCTTTAAGGTCAAATTTGTGCAAATCATAGACCATCCACCCTATTTGTTAGGAAAACCATATAAACCCCGTTCTTAATAAATGCCACGGATCAAAATGAAATCGGACTAAGATGAAATTTGGGTTTTAACTTAAACCAGTTATACTTGGTTATTATAAATTCAACCCTAAAACTGACCCCTAACCTTAAAAAATGCCAAAAAAAAAAAAAAAAATTGCGCCCCAAAAATTTGCATTTTTTCTGGCTTGTTTATTTAGGCTATATAAAATTCATTTTAATCTGATTTCGTTTTAATCCGCCACGATAAAAAGAAATTACATAATGGTTAAGCATATTGGATATCTTAAATAATAGAAAGATGAAACTTCAAGTAATTTTTTCTCTACATAAAAAGGTCCAGATGATCATAAATCAACTGTTTTGATTATAGCAGATAATCCGATTCCTCCACAGTGTGGATTATTTTATTTTGAAATTAAAATTATAAATAAAGGAAATAATGGGTAAGATTAATGATCCTTCTTCAATAATTAAATAATATAATTTATTTATTATATATTTTTAAAAGGATGATTGGACTTGGATTTTGTACAAGTCCAATTGATTCGGATACAAAAAATGTCGATTCAGATCTAAAAATCGATAATTATAATATCATGCCCGATAATAAGCGAATTTTATCTTATTTTCATAATTGCTATAGACTAACGTATCCGTTGACACATATTTAGGGCAGGAAAATGGTTCGTGAGGTTATCATGGCGACGATGGATACTCTTTTTGTTCTGGAAGTGGTGAGCCTTATGGGCCATCATATGTTACTGGTGATATTATTGGATGCTATTTAAATTTTAGAAATCGCATAATATTTTACACTAAAAACGGCATAAACCTAGGTAAATATTAATTCATAGGCTAAATCAAATCAAAGCAATTAGTAGTGATTTATAATGTTATATGTTCAAGGAATCGCGTCATTTCTACTGATAAATTAAAAGATACTATATATCCTTATGTTGGATTAAGGTCTAAAGGCAGTTCTGTGGAAGTAAATTTTGGTCAAAAAAAATTCGATTATTTAAGTAAATATATTTATATAACTTTATCTAAGTATACTTATGTATTAAATAATCTTTTTTTGTGAATAGTAATGTCCTATGATGATTTCGGTAACGAATTATGTAGTAAAAACTGGATTGATATTAAAGTTCTTGATCAATATAATTATGAATTAACTCAGTCGTTAAAAAATCAACAAAGTAATACATTTACATTAATGCATCGCGGAAAAACTTATTTAATTATGGGCAGATACGAAGAAGCGATTGAAGATTTAACTAAATTACTAGAAATTGAACCAAATAATGCAACCGCATTGAGATATCGAGGTGAAGCATACTTTGTAATGAAAAATATGATGAATCTCTTGCAGACATAAACAAATTATTAGAAACTAAAATTAACGATACATGGGCAATAAAAGCATTTGACTTAGTTAATAAACGCAAGTATAATTTATCTTATATATAGTACTTTAGATCTGAAAATAATTAGATTCTACTAATAAACCTTATGCTGCATATAATCATATTAGTTTGTGAGTATCAAGAATCGCATATAATCATGTTCATGTTATATCAAACCAAATTGCTAATTAATCAACTCGAATACATACCGATCATATTAGAAAGTAAGTAAAGATTCATAAATTTAACATGTTTTTAAAAAAGAGCTTATTAAGCAATTCACATATATAGGTGGTGAGCAGGGACCCGGAAAAATTTGGAAATAAATTTTTCCAAATTTTTCCAAATTTTTGGCCTTAATTTTGGTATTTCCA